ATACCAGCTTCTGGCAGGCTCCACTTGCCTCAGGAACATTGAAGAGGAGGGTGAAACTCATGAAGCCTACTCACTGCAGAGGATGCCTTATTCCAGCATAGGAGCAACTATCCATGCAGAGTGTCACCTGCCATCATAGGTAAGAAAAATGGTCAAGAAACTGAGCTAAGCCCTAAAAAACTGTGATGAACTAAATTCAGGAATAAATAAAGGAAGCAGATCATAAAAGCTTATGCATGAGGACAGACTGCCATACGTTTACACCCTATTGTGAATAATTGAAATCACCAGCATTATAATAACGAAGGTAACATCATAAATACCTTATGTCTAAAGTAACCAACTTTTGGGTACCAAAATCCAGGTCACCATGAGAGGCCCACTTCAGACCTCCAGAACCAAACATAGTCCATGCCATTTCTGGTTAGCATAGCCATCTTAATGCAGCACTACTTTTTCTGAAAACTCTACTAATTAGTTGTAAGCTCCCTCTGAACTGGAAGCAACAGAGTCACTTTCACAGGGCACTGCACCCTGGTTAATTAGCTCTGTTTCTTACTAGATGCTGCATGGTCTGTTGGGAACGTTCTGGGGGTAGGGGTAGGGGTTAGCCAATTTTAGACATATATTCTAAATTCAGGACAAATTTCAGGGATTCTCAGGTGACATTAGAACACAACTTGGACATTTGAGACCAGCCTGAAAAATCTGGGACAGTTGATCACTTTTACTTCTGCCCCCAGGAACTGTGCGATTATCCCAAAGCTGGCCCTCTGCACTCAGTTTATGACAGGAATTTATTCAAAAGCATTGGGCTAAATTCTTTACTCGGTTGCTACTGTGCAGCTTTCCTGGTCTGCTGAGTTGCACAGTTGCACCTGAAGTCAGGTTCTGGTCCACATGAACCAAACCATTAAATAAGCAAATATTACTCAGCCGCGTGAAGTACTATCCCATTTTATATGCATCGACGATGTTGTCGTTGAACCAGCTGTTGGCCCAGAAACATTCTCTCTCCCCTTTTTTTCTTTCCTTTAATTCTTTAAGTGATTTTATGTATACATGTTAAATGAATATTCTAATTACGTTAAAGGAAAGAACAGAGAGATTACCTTTGTCCAACTTTATCTGTTCCCCTGATGGTAAAGGAATGAAAGACTGCAGAACAATAGCATAACTACCTTGGTAAAGCAGAGTGGGAGCTGAGTGAGATAGTAGGTTTATTCATCAGTTTTTTCTCTCAAGAAACCTGCATTCAAAGAATAAGAGCAAGTGACTTAGATGGTCTCAGACTAGACCCTAGTGGATGTTTGGGCACATCACAAAATAATCACTGCAGACTGACACGGGGCAGATTTTCCACTCCAGAGGCCTAGGATTGGGACAGAGCACTGTTGTAAGAAGAAAGGGGTAGACGACAGCACAGTACATCCCTGCCCTGCTCTGTACTGGGCAGTGTACAGCACACGGCACTACCCTGTGACTTTTGTCCCCCACCCACTTGAGCAATACATTCCCCAGTATTTAGAAATAATAAAATGAGAGGCAAAACTTAAACATCCACTCAGTTACTGTGCAGGAAAAAGGTTTTATTCACTGAAGCTCACGACTTTTCTATGTACAGTTGGCCTGATTATCCGTTTCATTACACCAGGTTTAAAAGCCACCATAATGCCAGTGACTTGGGATCTCATTACCAGATAGGGAAATGAGGCCCAGCAGTGTCTCCCACAGCTTCTCTAGTCCCACCCATTTCATAGTGCCTATCCTAGAAAAGTAGCTTGCTTTTTCTGATTTCTATTTAAAAATCAGTACCATAAATTGAACCCTTATAATAGTCCAGGGAAAAGATGTGACCTGAACGCCTAAGAATTTTTTCAATGAATAGGACCCTTAATATTTCGTTTTGCCTAATGAAGTAAGGCGTCAATGCAGAAGGATTATTATTCCCGGAATGTTCCGGTCGCCACAAAAGTGTAATTCATGGAATCTGGCTCGAATTTTTTTCATATACATAATTAATGCTGCATTTAAAACACGTTAAAATGTTTTATTCCTTAATCAGCTAATTTGACTGTGAAACAAAGATGCCTTTATTTGCCTTTTCCCTGACTAGAGTTACTGTAGTAAAACTTCCCCTCTAGCTTTGGCTTTCTCTTACGAGTTTGCTGCTGCCAATTAGTTTTCTAAAGTTGCTATTTTACAAAATGTTTCTCACTTTTAAAAAAAATGTAATCCACTGTCTGTACATCACAGAGTTCCTTGTGTTCAGACACAGGGCGTTAAACATTCTTTGGGTTGACTTGGGTCAGCTTTGAAAAGTCTCAGGCACTGTAACTTGAGAAGCAGTCGTGCGCTATAGTGTTTTCTCCACATCCTGTTAAGTATTAAGTGGTTATTTAAAATGGAGTTGTTATACTCAGCAAGTGACTTAAAGTGCTCTATATAGTTTACAAGACGATTAATTAAATGAGAACATTGCATGTGATGCGCATGTATTTCCATAATCATTCACATTGGCCTATAGTTGCCCTTTAATTTTCATACTAATTAAAGTAACACATTGAACTGCAAATCGTAAATGGCTGCATTTCTCAGTAGATGTTAACACTGATGTAAGCTGAATGGTGAATAAAAAGCCCAAGAATTTAAGCAGAGTGGTTTTTTACTCAGATCCATTCAAGTTTTCTTTTTCATTCCATTACTGGACAAAGTCCATATTTTAACAAGACCGCATTTTGCTGAGGTTTTTGGCCCCATGATTTACTGGGGTACAATGTGCTTTTTGTTGCTATCTCTAATTAGTTGGTTTCTCTTTTAAAATAAGACAAGAGTTGTATAGATCTAGGGTTTGGAGTTTTTTGCTTTGTTTTGCTAGAACTGGTGGGACTAGGATTTTGTAATCTGATGGACAGGATAAGATAAAATTGTAACATGCAGCTATTTTGCCAATAGTATTTATTACTGGTTACTTGCATCTGACCTAGTATCCTCTTTAATTCCAGTTCAAATTCCAACATGGTTGACTTGGGTATTGAAATGTATACTGAGGGGGCTATATTTTTAGGTCACATCATAGTATAGGAAGTTATACCTTTAGAACTGTCACTGAGATTTTAAAAAGAAAAAAAACCCAGATATGAATAATCATGCCATGGTTCATGTAGCCACTTGCATCTGGACTTGGCAACAGCCCTGACAGAAACCACTACATTTATCTCAGTCTTGAGCATATCATGTAATCACTACTGAATGAGAAGTAACTGTGAACTATAGATGTGAAAAAGGCACCTGAAAAAGAATGCTGTCAGGGTCAACAGACTCAAAAATTAACAATTTATCACTCTTTACACTGAATCTTCCATCTAATTGCTTCCATGATAAAAGTTTTCTTCTTTTCAGAAATGAGCATTATACAAGATTTCTGTTTAATTTAAAAAGAAAAATTCCTCCACTCCCAGGTGACCCATCTAAGAGAAATAATAATAAGCAGTCGATTGCTCAGAGAGCATCAGCTCTCGCACATATTACAAGGGGGAGTGTTTGCACTCCAGTACAACCCCTCCCCCACTCCCTTCCTGCAGTGTGTCCCATCCCCAGACCTAACTTGGCTTGATCCAAAATCTTATTTGTTAAAATTAACTTTTACATCAGCTGGAGACAGCGTTCTTGGCAAGTGGGAGAGGAATGAGAACTGAAAGGGAGGGAATAGCTGTTGGAGGCCAAGAAGGGAAAGGGAAGAAGGAGTTTGGGCGAGGATTTCTAGCAGCTAGAAGAAAGTGATCAGGCCACAGCTGTTACATGTTTCTGGGTAAAGACAGAAGCAGTAAGTAGGCTAAGGGGAATGAAAGAAGGGTGCTGTATCTTGGTATATCCCAGCAACCGCAAGTGGAAGTACAAAGTCCAGCCAAGACACCCAAAGCTTGGCACAGTCTCTTTCATGAACATCTCTTGCCAGGGGCACCATTTTCCAGTGGTCATCTACTACCCCTAGCCTGTGGACTAGGAGAAAACAGCCACAGTTTGGAGCCAGTCCTCAGAAGCAACAGGTATTTCCTCAGCAACAGCCAGTGGGACAGGCCCCAACTGAGATTCTCCCTCCTCTTCCACCCCCAAGACCTCCAACGTTTCTGGATGCCAGCAGTGTCACAGGCTGCTTGAGCATTATTTCTGCCAGATTTGTGGGACTGCTGGTAACAAGCTAATGCTTAGAAAGTCCATGAATGTTTATTTCATGTAGATAAAAGAAAACAGAGTTTCTGCTTTTCCGCTCAAAAGGAAAACAACAACAAACCCGCACACACTCAAGGAACAGCCAGAGACAAAAACCATCCTCCTTCCAGCAATCTCTATAAAGCAGTATGTTGCCCTGCAGTTGCCTCTTCCTGGCTAGGGAAAGGACTTTCTCTTCCACTTCTACTAGGGCTGTGCAAAATTCTGACAGGTGTTTCATTTCAAAGCTGTTTCAATGCTTTTTGAGCTCGAAACAGCAAAATCAAAATGAAACAAAGGCTTTGAAACAGCTTCAAAATGAAATGACAGCACTCAAAATGTTTCTAAAGTTTTGAAATATTTCAAGTTTCGAAGCTGGGGTTGTTTGCTAGATTGACATCTAGCTTCCTGTTCGATTCCCCCAGCTCTCTGATCATTTCCCCAGCTCTTCCCAGGTGGCGTGGGCCCCTGATCAGTGCACGGGGTTTCAGCAGGCTGGGGCCAGCGGCACCACCAGTCTTACTGGTGCTTGGTGCGGGCTGCGCCGAGCTCAGCTGGCAGCGGCAGCCTGCTGTCATCCCATGTGCAGCTCCGGGGGCCTGCGCCCCCCAGGAAGAGTCTGGCACAGCTCCCTAGCCCTCCTGGGGAAGCACAGGCCCCCAGATCTGCGCACGGGATGACAGCAGGCTGCCAGCAAGTGATATGAGTATTGCTTTGAACAGTTTGAGGTGCAGTTTCCTAAAAACTCCTGCACCTATCTCCTTGAAACTTGGCATGCTTCATACCCCTCAGGAGGGGCTACCATCCCTGCAATTTTCATCAGAATGAGGCAGGAAATTACAAAGTTATAGGCATTTTCATGATTCCACATTATAGCCTATGGGCGAAACATCGAAATGCATTGAAACAGCGAAACAGTTTCAGTGAAAGAAAATGGAACGGTGCTTTGAAACAGCAAAACAAAACACTGTCCCTTTGAAACAGCGAAACAAAACGGTGTTGTTTCACACAGCCCTAATTTCTACCCAGAGCCCCTCCCTCAGCATGTCTGAGTTGCCTTTTTATAAACCCTCTGAGGTGAGCCTCTAGCTCATCCCCTCCCTGCCTGCCTTAGTATAGGGCACCACACATTGTGTGCAAGGATTGTGTTAACTAGCTGTCATTTCCCAGCTTACTCTTATGTATTATTAATGTTACTGTAATACCCACAGTGCATTTAGTGCATCACACACACATACAGAGATGATGCTTACTCGCTCTCTAAAAATGCAGGCAGCAAGCAAAAGATGGAGGAGAGGGATAAATGTAATCAATCAATTAAAAATAAATAAATAAAAGAAAACTCACCACTTCATCCCAAACATATTAAAAGGCACTTCTCACCCCACAAAATAAACATTCATGGACTTTCTAAGCATTAGCCTTTTATGAGTCCCACAAAGAAAGCGGAAACCTTTTCAGACCTACCACCATAATGTTCTGGTTTTATTCCACTAAAACTACACTTGAATTTAGTTTTGCCTACTCCAGACAGTTGAGTGTAATGGAGACTGATATAATGTGGTAGAGAAGTAAAACTGTGTGTTCTGATATACTGACTCCCTCTCCCCCCCAAAAAAAAAGAAAAAAGAAAAATGATGCAGAACATTTCAACTCTGCAATGAGATGCAGCATTCAAAACTTCAAGAAGACTGGTTTCTTTTGGGGGAGGTTTGGGGTTAGAAATAAGGCTTCTAACATGAGGCCAGTTTTCATCTTTACCATGTGGCTGCAACTGCTGCTCCATTATTTGTATACATCAGCATACCTCTGTATTGGCTTACTTACTATAAGGATCCTTCATCAGAGTTTCTTGATAGTGTTTTAATTGCAAGTGTAGTATTTCCAAAGGATACACAATACAGTTGTCAACAAGTGACTGATTAATCAAATATCTGACCCAAAGAAACACATAGCCACCTATTCTTGGCCAGGGAACATGTGTAAGCAAGAGGGCAAACATGCAGTCACAGTCACACACACACACACACACACACACACGAAAACAGTATCTTGGTTTTGTTGAGATTTTTTTTCCCTTCAGGCTGGTCACTACGTAGCATAATTGGGGGGTTAGTCTCATTACTGCTCTAATTAATCTTGATCTGCTTTGTTAGAACCAGTTACAAAGAAAACATTACTGAAAAGAAAACCCTCAAGGCTTCTAAAGCTTGTGTAACAGATGAAGTCAATGCTTGATCTAAGTCTGAGCAAGAAGTCCAGCCTGTTTCATGTTTCCACATGAAGCACTCTGTCCCACCCCTTGATCCTCCCTCCCCTAACCTTCCTTTGCATTCCCCTACTAAATATAGAGTGTTCTTTCTTCCTCTTTGTTGTACCTTGTAAGAATTACCTCAAACAGGATGCAGCTTGTTAGAGCAAAGTCAGGTTATTTCACACAGAGGCAAGGCAAAGCAGAGTTCACGTTGTAAATTGTCTTGACTTCTAATGGAAACAAGGTGAGAAATGGAATACAACTGTAGAGGCCAGCTTGAAATGGAAACCAGGATTAAAAGGAGCTGTTTAGGGGCTCACAGGTGCTAAGCATCAGGGAAAGACAACTACAATTAAAAAAAGAAAGAAAGAAAAAGGTGAAGGGGATTTTTGACTATCAGTTCTTTCAGCTGTTTCAAAATCAGAACTGTTTCACATACACATATGGCAGCTGATTATGATGTACTGATAGACATTAATTTTAAAGTTACTCTTGGGCACAATATAGGACTTTGATTCTGTAATGCATCTGAACATGCCTAACTGCATCAGGTGTATAAATTCCATTGAATCCAGTGAAATGAATACACCTGTTTAAGTGTTTGCTTCAAACCCATCCCTCCCTAGCATATTCTTAAGTACTCTCCCAAATCAGCCCTAAACCAGGTGCTTCAGTTCACAAACATGTATTTCAAAAAGGGTGATGCTAGCCTTTGGGTTTCTGCGGGACCTGATAGATCCAGAATCTATCTGCATGGTTTGCTGCATTCCTGGTTTAATTACCAATGTGTCCAGTCAGTAGGGGAATCAGAATGTCTCTAGCTACAATTTTATTTAAGTACCATTTCCCCAATGAATGCTGGCAGAGATACTTTTCCAAGCACGTGCTGCAGAACCATACGGTACTACAGATAATCCTGCCAGAGAGTCTGGAGCAATATAAACTGTAGTATGAGAGTTTTATAATGAGATTCACCATCCAAAATTGCTGTTTCACATAGTAAAGTTCTTCCACTAAATTATGAACAGGGCATAAGAAGCCTGGTCTCTTTAGTCAGCAGAGAGGAATGGTTTCCTTTCAACTCAATCTTGTGTTTTTGAACACCTTTTTGTATTTATAGTATCTCCTTTATCTGCTTAGTTGTTGGTGCTCAGGGTACATATAATAGATTAGAATTTACTACATATTGGGAACAGGGGAACATAGGACCTGATCTAGCAGAGCACACCCATGATGTTCCAAGCTGTTTAACACACAGGGGATCCTGGTTCTAAGGCAAGTAAAAAATGTATCATGTTATGGAAAATTCTGGCATCTGAGGAAAGAAGCAGCAGCATCCAAAGAAACACTCCCTGCTACCATTCTGCTAATGATGATCCTCCATCCTTTGAAATTTCCACATATATAGAGGACTGAACTGGGTCACTATAGCTCTAAGGTTTCTGCAATTATTGATAGTGGGATGGAGAAACCCATCTCATGGGCATCTCTTTCTCTGGATAAACTATGCAAGAACCACTCTAAAGAGGATTTGGGGCCATTCTATTCTCTCCAATAGCCACTGGTGTAGAAAGATGTGAAATATTCTGGAACTCCGAAACCCCAAGGAGAGGGGTCACCTACACCCACATACATTTTGGGAGAAGGTTCAGACCAAATGGTTCTTTTCCTAGTCCTCTTGACTGACATCAAAGTGGCAACATGGTCACTATACACTGCAACATCATGCAAAAGTGAAGCTAAGATACTGGAGGAAACAACACCTTTCTAGGAGGAATTTCAGTGCTAAACCTCAAGCATGCAATAGGCAATCAGAAGGGCTAAATTAAGACAGTCAAAAAGCCCAAGACTGAATTGATTCAGTCTTTGCAAGTTAGTCAAAACTGCACAGATTAAACTGAAATAGAAGTGATCAGATATTTATCTTTGATTCAGAAAATGCAGCCACATGCCAGCAGTGGCTCAGGCCAGAAGCCAAGAGGTGCTAGAGCACAGCTCTCTGGCCATGTGTTCACCTCCTCTTCCTGCTGCCCCCAAGGTCTCTGGGATTTGCAGTCTAGAATTACAGCAGCAGGACTCTGAAGGGTTGATCATCACTTCCTCTTCCTACTTCCAGGTCCCTCTGGGATTTGTAGTCCACAGTTGCAGCCAGCAGTAAGATTGAGTGGAGGAAGAGGTGTTTAGCCTCACTCCCTGGCCCCAGATAGGGTTTGCCTGGGGGGGTAGTCCCCCCTCTTCCTGCAGACTGGGCTGCATCCTCAGCCAGGCTTGCACACCCCATCTCCCTCCACTCCCTTGTCAGCCAGCCCAGGCCAGCCCAGGGCTGCAAAGTATGCGGGGGGGATTGTAATTTAACTTGAACCAGGAAGGGGTCTTGGACAAAAGTTTCATAAACTGGTTTGACCCAAATCAGTTAAGTCTGATATTACATTCAACCTGATTTGTCTTAAACCAGTTTTGGCCATTTTGAAAACAGTTTATGTGCACTGAACTTCTGTTCTGTTACAGGTTTAAACCAGTTTCTGATCTCTTCAACTGGTTGATGCGTTACTTCCGTCCCTAGCCAAAGAGTATAGCTAAGAGAAAGCTTAACAATGAGGGCCTCTAGATCAGAGGCAGAGAAGGAGATAGGAGAGCTAAATAATAATTATTGTTGTTGTTAGCAACTGATTAAGCACTAACAATGTCCTGCATAAGACACAACAATAGTTAATAGCATCTGGTAAAAAAAGAGTAAATAGTTTCCAGGAAAAAAATTCCAACAAAAAGAATTTTCACTGACATTTTTTAGTTTTACACTGAAAAGAACAGTTTCAGTTTCTCTCCTTTCTCATTTTCTCCCCCTGGCCAAAAAGAAAGGGAAAGGGATAAAAGTGACATAAAAGAAATAAAACTAGCAAACTGGTTTGGGTTTTTATTATTTTTTTTTGGACCAAAACAATATTTTTTGCACCAAAACATACACTATGGCTAAAATTGTTTCCATTGTAGAAAAGTTTCAGTCTGATCTCTGTGAAGACAATCTCAAACTCCAAGACTTTTCAACCCAAAAGGCACACCATACACATTTGCAAAATGCACAGGCAGTTCTAATAAACCAATTAGAATTGGGGTTTGGGGTTTTATTTAAACAAACCCGTTGCAGTTCTATCTTTACTAGCCCTTAATTAAATTGATGGCCTAAACAGAAAATTCAGAGTGGGAGAGAAAGAAGCATTCAATTATGGACCATAATCAAGTCTCATAAATAGTCATGTTGCTGGCCTAACATTTAACGTTAGTTGTACATCTTTAAACAATATCATGGCTTGGGTTTGTTTGTTGTTGTTTTGCTTTGGGTTTTGTTTTGTTTTTTTGGGGGGGAGGGGGCTGGGAGAGGGCAGGGAGGAACCAGGGGAGGAGGTTGTCTGAACACATTTGCTTTCACTGAAAAATGAAATATCCCCCAATTGGGGATAGTTGTATAATCCCATCAGACTTTGAACCCTAGATAAAGTCAAGTGAAAAAAAGTCAGATATTTGTGTCAGATTCTTATAAAACAACTGCTAGTGTATTAGCAAAGTCACTCTTAGACAAGTTGTGAATTTTAGCAAAAGCCTGAAGTATTGAAGCTATGCTGACTGGTATACAATGGGAAAGCACCGCTCATTCTCTGTCCCCTTCCCGTGCATTTGTTCAAAAAGAAGGGAGCACTGAATGTTCTCTCCTTGCTCTTCACCCAGTGCACAGACCCCAAATCCAAGAAGGTCCCATAGAGGCATGCAAGGAGATAAGTAATTACTCTCTTGACCTGCAAAGGATCATGGAACAATCCTGTTCTAAGGCTGAAGGATGTAATTTTGGCTCAAGCACATACCTACTATCATGTTTTCTTTTTGTAAAAGTTACATGGCAACATAGTCATCAACAGTGAACAAAATTAGGACTCCAGTGAGTAGCAGGTAAGTTCCCCAAAACATCCTAAGTAAGTTTTTTTGTGCTTTTAAATTTGCTGGTTATAGTACTGTTGGGCCTGATTCACTTCTTCACTGATCCCATAATATTGTTAAATGATGTACTGCATCTCTTCCACAAAGAATTGCAGGAAAATTACATTTAGGTCCCTGGCAAACATTAAAACAATAGTCTGATGGGATGAGTGGAATTTTATGCCCTAACCCAAACATGGTGCCTCTTGCCATGTCAGACACTCATGTAACATCTGCCAGGGGCTTTAGAGAGAGAGTTTGATGGTGTCTCAGATGTTTTGACAAAGGAAAGTAATAAACCCTCAAAACACCATAAACGGTTCTGCATAGTTTTCATGTTAGGGTTTTCCATGGAAATAAATAGTACTGATTTGTTCCATAATGCCTTCTATTATTATTATTAATATTATTATTAATAATAATAACAACAATAATAATATTTGTGTACTGCTTAAACCACTGTTGCATATGAAAGTTAATATTTTCAAAGCATTGGGTGAGATAACTTTCTCTGAAAACAGGTTCTCAATAGGAAACCCAAACAGTGCTAAAGCATTATCTTAAGTAGATTTAAATAATTAAATTCAAAATTCTCAAACCACTCACTGGTTCAAATTTATTTCTTTAATAACAACCTTGTTTCAGCAACACACTGGATTAGGATTTCATTTATTTGAAATTTAAGGTCTGTCCCACTCTGAATGTTATTTTAAGTATTTAGGGGCATTTTTGTGCTGGTGAAAATGAAGAGATTGTTGCATTATAAATTCATTTCCTCTGTTATTGCACAGGCCATGCACACTGCAGCTGTGAAAGCTCTGTAAGAGCCCCAGCCGTGTCCTCAAGTCAAACCCAGAAGGGATAGCTGTTGTTTTTCTACAAAAAGTTGCCCTTTTCTGACATCCCCTGCTAAAAGTACTTCCTAAACAGAGATGTCAACAGGGTTCAATCACAATGAATAATAAGGGGGCATTTAATGATGCTGATGTCTCTGCACCAGGAACATAGCTCAAACTCCAATAGGCATTTTCATCCAGAATCTCCAAAAATGGACGCCAACTATGTGTCTAGAGGTCAAAGGCCACTGCTATATGAATCATGCTACCCAGCCCCACCAATAACATGCTATATTAAATTCAGTAAGTAGAGCTGTTGGGCTAACAGGTGTTACATTGTAAGTAATAGCTCAGTGGTAGTTACTATTCACACTAACAATTTTACAAACAAGTGAGTTTCTTATACATTCTT